CTGAAGAGTGTGGCGCTTCTGCCAAGCTGTTCTGTGTTCTCTGTGTGAGCTTCGCGCGTCCGGACGGGAACAGCGGGAAGATTCCGCTGCAACCAGCACCCAAGAAAGTGTGCAGACGAGTCGGATCAATCCAAGCCTTTGATTTCTTTTTGGGACTGGGGTACGATACATTGTCATGCCGAGGCCAGCCGGCCGTCATCTTGAAATGCAGGCAACGTCGGTATACGCAAGTCATGCGACCAAGGGGGGCTCCATTCTAATTGTCATCGTCGCCGCTCACAAGATCAGAGTCGGTGAGCTCCATCGTGCGGCTCCAAGATCGCCTTCGCTCGCTCAGTGGTCTGAAAGAGGCAGGATGTGTTAGAACGAGCAGCAGTCAGTCACGTACGCCAAGACGCGACGAGGTACGCAAGCCCAAGCCTGACTCACGGCTCCAAGCCAGGTGATCGAGTTCGGAACTCACCTGTTTGCCGATCCTTCACCGTCCGGTCCAAGATCGCGAGACTCCCGCTTGCCTGCAGTGCTTGTTGCAGGCGTTGCCGCACTGCCTGCTACAGGCGGCCTAGAGCCCATGGGGCGAGCACCCCGCACCTTATTGGCACCAGTTGAACTGGATCCTGAGCCCATGCTGCCAAATTGACGACTCAAGCGCGCAACATTGGACGAGGCAGCAGCGCCGGCCGCCGCCGCAGCAGATGGGTCAACAGTAGTGGTAGTGGCACTCTTGATGTGGACAGGCTGTGTGGGTCCTTCTGAGGTTGGAGTACCATAGGCGCTACCTCCATCGCTAGACGTTGCCGCCGATCCAGGCCGTGGAGTGATCGTCGATGGGGCAAGCGACTCTGTGCTGGTTGCAGGCGTGACACCAGCTCCAACGACGCCGAGCACACGTTCCGAGAGAGGTGTCGGCGCTTCTGCTGAAGCAGGATCCGGTCGAGACTTGGCCACATCAGACGTCTGTATCGCGGGTCTCACTGCCGATGCTAAGCCTCCAGTGCCGATTGAGCTGTGCGATGTCTCTGGACTAGCGGTCTGGTGCAGCTCAGGAACGCCAGGGCCTGCTTTGACATCCTTTGCTGGCAATGCTGGCACTGGCGGTGCAGGCTCGCGTGGCCCCATGATACCCTGACCACGCGAAGTACGCGTGGGACGGACATCTATGGGCTTCGTGCGTTTTCGAACTGGCATCTTGCGCTGCTTAGCAAGAGCGCTTTCGCCCTCCTGCGTCTTGCGGTTAAGCAGCGCAGGTAACAGCTCGTCATAGTGCCCGATGAGGTCCATTGCAAGAAGAGTAGGCGCACGGGAAGGGATCGTGGCGGCATTTTCACGAGGCGGTCTCAAAACGACTGTTGACCAGAGTAGGCCGAAGCAATGGAGTATGTCAGGGAGAACCATGAGCCCGGGGATCGCAGCTGACGTACCTCGACCAAGCGCAAGGCCCAATTTGTTGAGGTAGATCCCATTGGATTCGTTTGTAGGCGTCTTCTTAATCATTCTGAGGCGAGGAGAGACGAGCTGATGATGAGTCCACAGTGAATCGCGCCGTTCGGGATCGAGCTACTCACCGCGACAGATGCCCGACCAGAGCATCTAGACAGACGAGGTGAAGCTTTGGCAGGCGGTTGAGCACGACACCAAGGTCCTCCAGAATACCTTTACGGATTCGTTCCTCAAGAGCAGAATCAAGGCCTACGCGCCCCTTGCCTTTGTCCAGCGTAGGTGTCGTGGTGTGATCGCTGGCTTCTCTACTCTGGCTTCCTTCTTTTGCGGTAGTTTCAGCGTCGGTTGCCGCATTTGCTGCATTGCTGCTCGCCTTTGCTGCTGCAGCTTCGCTCTCTTGAGCTGAAGCAGCTCCGTAAATGCTGTTGATGGGGTCCCATACCTCCCTGCTGACAAGGCTGTCCGCCAGTTCCAAAGCCCAGATCTTGACGGTCGCAGCTAGCGTAGGAGCATCAAATCTGGCCAGCAAACCATCTATGCCTGCACCTGCTTCAGCTCCAGGATTACCGCTTTGAGTGATGTGCGTTATGATGGCCTCCCGACAAGCATGCGACTGAGCGAGAGGCACGTCGTAGAGCCAGGCTTTCCTGCGCTCTTCGTGAGCGTGCAAGGCAGTTTCGCGCGTGCCCGCTTTTGCTTCGCCCTCATTCGCTGAGGGAGCCGGCCATCTAGCAGGATCATCGTATGCCCTGTCGAGAGCTGCTAAAAGAGCAGAGAAAGCCAAGGGGAGCGCGGGCAATGCTCCTTTCTTTCCGCTTCCAGCGCGCAACGCCCCGCCGGCATCGCCTTCAACTTCAGAGTCTTCGTGAGCGAGTGCCTCCGCCCGACTGAATGCAACCAAGTCCATGCCAAAGGTGGCGATGCCGGAGCCTGCGAGAGAGTTGGCCTCTCCATTGTAGTAGCCGTGGAAGACTTCAGGCTGAGGCAAGAAGGGTCCTGTGCGGGTGTTGTAGATCAGCGAGCCAATGGCCTGTGCAGGGATGATTTTGTTTTCAAGTGTTCGTAAACGCTTGAGCGACACATCCGTCTGCGGCAGCAGAGAGTCGAAGGCGCCATTGAAAGCGAGAAGCACTGCATACAGCGAAGAGGTCGCATCAATCGCGTGATCGAAGACGGGAAGCTCATGTGCGCACACTCACCTGTGCGAACCGCCCGCGCGCGCTCGTTTTCCCAACGTTCAGCGTATCCGAAGTGCTCCATGAGCGTTTCTTCAAGGCCAAGACGCGTACGATCAAGATCGCGGACCGCGGTGCGGTAAGGGTCTTCGGCTGCTTCGGCATCTCGGCGCAAGCGCACGTGTCTTGGATCATTCAGGCCTCCGAGCGCTCCTCGAATGGTCGCAAATGCAGGCGCTTCCGTAGCACGGGAGATTGCTGCGCTTAACGAGGATGTGATGGTACCGCTGCGGGTCAAGGTGCCAGAGCCGCCGCTAACTGAGCGATTCCCCATCTCGAAGGTTGGGTTCGAGGGAGGCAGGGTTGCAGAAGCTGATCGGGGAGACAGAGGTAGCGTCGTGTACCTGTCGTCCTTGCCATCCTCGTTCTTCCTTGGATTGCGTCTAAAGCCAAATTGATCGCGCAGCGTCTCGCGACGCTTCAAGCGTTCTGGGTCGGCTGACGCAGCATCAGGCCCATCTTTCTCCTCGCCCAAACCGATGGACTCAGGCTCTGAGCTTTTCTGAACATCCTTCTCAAGCAAAGCGTTGGAAGCTGCAGTGCTTTGCTGCGATGAAAGATTGACGTGCCCGGTAGCAGAAGGCGGTGGACTCAAGACGGAACCACCAGCAAAACGAGCGTCGTCCTCCGCTTCGTCTGCTTGGCGACACTTCGACTCATAACTCCTGCGAAGCCGATCAACCTGTATCAGGGAGCGAGGGAAGACAACACGACGATGCGCATGTTGAGAAGCCAATCTGGTGTGGACCTCTCTCTTCAGACGGGTTCTCTCGGCGGCCCCGCACTCACCTCTGCTTGCAGCGCTTCAAAACGCTCGACAGTAGCATTGACGTGTTCCCAGCTTGAGCGCACTCTCTTGACATGCTCGTCGCTCCATTTGCCAAAAGGTATCAATATGTTGCGCTCCAGCGCGTGAGCCACAGCACCGTGTGCCTGGGCCTGGGCAGTGGTAGCTTCGAGCTCTAACGCTCGAATGGCATGGCTGAGAGCAGTGTGGGGCTTGACTTCCTCCCTGGCCCCGCGAAAGAGCGATGAAGGAAGGTTTGGCGATGGAAATGGGGCAGAAAGAGCTTCTGCCGTGTTGTACTCAAGCGAAGCACGGTGCTCGGCTAGCGCCAGAATGGTCGAGTCTTCGTCTATGCCGCGCTGTAGAGCCGTGTAGAGCGAGTTGACTCCAACCCTGTAGGGAGCGGACCAGTAGCTGCTCACAAAGGTTGGCGGCAGATTGATGGTCAAGGTGGATGGCGCCGTCATGTTGAGGTGGGTTGCACCCGCCCGCAGAGTCGCTGTTCGAGTCTGTGTCGACTTGACGTGTTCAGACAGGCGAGAGAGGTTGGTGCGCTTGCCCAAATCGAGGCCGGGCTTTCGAGTGCTGAGGAGATTGCCTTTTGCAGACAGAGTGAAAGGTGGCAGCGTGGTTCTGTTGAAGGTGGTGAGCGTTTGAAAAGTGAAGTCAGCACCTACGTCAACGCAACATGCGCTCGCGATTCGCAGACATGACCGACGCGATGGTGACACGTCAATGGGGACCATGCGCTCGCACATTCACGCTCGGGGCGCGGTCACATCAACTGGAACCGCGATCGATTCGGCGCAGAGCTTGACTGCCGATGCGTGCGCTGCATGTGCCGCATTCTTGATACAAAGGTCTACATCACAGCCCGCCATCGCAGTCAGACACACACAGCCTCATCTGTTGCTGCTGTACAACAGACGCGTTGCCCTGCGGCCGACGTCCGTGCCCATACGCACGCGCCCAGCATGACTTCGGCGTAGGCGTGGGCGTGGGCGCATGTAGGATCCGGCGGCTATGCGCGATGGCTCGATTTGTTGGCTCTCTCGAATAATCTATTACCGTCATCAGTCAGGTGACATCTTTGCCGCACAGCAGCAGAGGAAGAATTCTCGTGCGCGTGACCGAGACACTGGACTTTCATCAGCATCCTCCATAGAAAGCGCAAGCTTACCACTTTCTGGCCGTCATCGGCATCCTCGATAGGCAGCTCTTCCCACATCAGCATTACAAGCGCTGCAGGTAGTGACACGCCGTCCGACCTAACCACCCCCGTCTGTCAGCAGGATTGTTTGTGACGACATTGCAGATTGCAGAGATGATAGCTCCACTAAGGACCGCAGTTTCGCGCGCCAGCGTTCTCAGTCACTCCACGAGACTGTGAGTAGCAGTGGTGCTTGAAGCTTCGCTTCTTGTCCCCTTCCGCTGCGCTGTTTTGACTAGATATCATTCGCAACCAGCACCCGATCAGCTTCGTCACGATGGTCACAAGCCCGCACAATGGCGTCTGAAGCCGCCCCCGAAGCTTCTAGTAGCTCTACCGCTCAAGCAGCAGCCCCTGCCGATCCTAAGCTCAGCGCAATTGTGGACCAGATCGAAAAGCTGACTTTGTTGGAGGCCGCTGAGCTGGTTACTCAGCTCAAGGTGAGAGGTCCATTGCTGCAGAAGCGATAGGTAGGTCACGCTGACCCTCCCTCCACGCCATTCTCGCAGACGCGCCTTAATATTCAGGACATTGCGATGCCATCGGCTGCGCCTGCTGCTGCTGCTCCCGCTGCTGGAGGAGGTGCTGCGGCTTCAGCAGCACCGGCAGAGGAGGAAAAGCCCAAGGAGAAGACGATCTTCACGATCAGACTAAAAGGATTGAAGGATGCGGGAGCCAAGGCCAAGGTCATTCGTGAGGTCAAGGCTTTGAACAGCTCAATGTGAGTGATCGCTCGCGATGGGCCTGGCGTCTGCTACAATTGCGCACGCCGCCTTTGTCCCTCTTCTTGATTGAGCTTTTCCGAATAGAATCGCTGTCGCTGACACTCACCCCTGCACAGGAACCTGGTCGAGGCTAAGAAATTCGTCGAGTCGGCACCCCAGGTGCTCAAGGAGGGTGTGCCCAAGGAGGAGGCGGAGAAGTTGCAGAAGGCCATTGAGGCTGCTGGTGGAGAAGTCGAGCTGGAGTGAGGAGATACACGACAGAGTGCTGGGGTATGGAGGATGTGGCTTGCGGGCTGCGGACGCACACGAGGAGCAGGCATGTCTCTGACATACGCCATCGCGGTTGACAATGCATACACTGGCTCACATCTACCTGCCCCGTCGGAGAGAGAGCTAGAAGTTCTGGCCAAGCGTGGTCGAATGCGCATCACTCTCAGTCCCAAGGACGAAGCACGACACTTCGCCACGCGGGCGTCGGCGCCATCGACGGACTGTACCGGTAAGGTAAAGCTAAACCTTGAACTTGATCACTCCACGCCACCCAGAAGGCTCCAGGTACACTCACCTGGCCATGCCTGTTTTGAAAAGGCATCCTTAGGCAGCAAAGCCCATTGATGCCGTTCCAAACAGCAGGTATCTTTCGCTTGGCAATGCGCTGATCTGCTGGCAGCGAAAGCGTCGCCACTTGCTGCGTATGGGCCGCCAGAGACCACTTTCACGACGGTCGCAGCCGGAGAGTCGGCGTCAGCCGGTCGCGCCCCTCGCCACTCACGCAGCCTCCGTTCCTCCTTCTCGAAATGTCAGGGCGGCGTCCTCGGTGGGCTATTCGTGCGCAGCCCGCCTTCCAAAGCTCCTACTTCTGCAGTTTGACCTAGCTAAAGGATTAACGTTGCAAGTCAACGCCACGGCTGCATCTCAAACGCCGGCTTTATGACAGCACTGACGCGGCAGGTGAGCGCTACATTAGTCGGCTCTCTTGCGACGGCGCTTGTGTTGATGCCACAATGTCACCATGCCACCACAATTACTGAGCGACGAGTGACGGGTTTCGATCGTTTCAAAGCAGTGGCGACGAGCCAAGCGGAAGCTTTCGAGGTCGGCGGGCTTGCCACCTGAGCGGCTTGAGCAGACCGTGGCTCGAGCTCAAATAGCCAGCGCTTGACGTTGCAAACTTGCCCTTCTGCTATCCTACTTCGAAGTCTCGTGAGACCTTTCTTCACTTCTGATTCCGCGATGAGGTCTGGTACCCGTGCTTTATTCATCCTTCTGCTCACTTTCTTGCTTCATGCACCTACTGTCAAAAGCAGGCCTTTCGCTGGTCGGATCGGGCTTGGCAGTGATCGTGTGCATGCCGGCATCGAGCGCGACGAGCTTGCAACACGTCAGCTAGATCTCCACTCCAAGAAGCCCACAAAGGTGCGCAGCTCGATGTCTGACGAGCGGAGCAGAAGCGCTTGACAACTCATTCAAATTCATCCGTTTCCTTCAGAGGTTCGACGCAGGAGCTGCGCTCTCCAACAGTAGCCTGTTGCGTCGCGCCGATGACGAGCACGTCGTGTCGAAAGTGGGTCCACTATGCTGAATATTGTTCGCGCCGCCGCTGACGTGCAAGTGCTCTCTGACCCAGGCCCTGAAATGGATTAGTAACAAGTCAGGCTTCGGTAGCGCCGGCAAAAGTGACACATCACAAAACGAACACAATGTCGAATCGCAGTTAGGGTCCGGTCCGGATGCAACGACCAGCCCCCTCCAGCGCCTGCACATTTCGGATCCTGTCATAGTGGCGCTTCCAGCTCATCGATACGGACCTCACGCAACCGAACATTCCCTGAGTCAAGAGGCGCGGCCCTTGATGGGATACGACGGCATTCCAGTTGGCCATCCTGTCAAGATTCGGACTAGCGGCATGTCGATGGATCAACGCTTGGATCACTGGCGCTCCAAGTACGCCTCCGGCAGAGTGAACTTCGGAGGGAATGTCAATGTTGCTCGACCCCCTCCTCTAGAAAGTCAGGCTATCCATGTTCAACATCCGGAATATCGTTGGACCAACAACTACTATGCGGATCACATGACGCGAGCTGATCACGACGTCATCTTTCGAAGACCGCAAGACTTTCACCCGAGCCAGTTGTCCCCCGAAAAGTTCAAGAGCGTTGCGGAAAATGGGTTTCTACGAGATGAGGTATTCATGAACAGGATGGGAGATGGCTACGCATGGGACTGGTACAAGCACTACCACGGTGTCAGCTCTGCGCCTAGCAGTCCCACCGCTCACACACCACTCATTCAGCCCCAGCGACCGGTTTTGCGGCATGAAGGGTCGATTCTTCACGATGTGAGTGCATGAAGCGCAACGATCTGACGTCAACTTGGTTTGGATTCGTCTAGAAGACCACGCTTTCTGGGGATCCGTGTCTTCCCGCACGCCGGGCTGCCCGAAGCCGGTATTCGAAGCAACCTGCTGCTCTTGGTAACCCCCCGGACGCAGTCTCATGACGAGCCGGTATACGTAGCGCTGAGCAACGACTTTACCCTCTGCCGTGAACAGCCCAACCAAGTTTCGCGCCGAGATGCTGATTCAAATGAGACGCTAGTCCGTCGCGCTGAGGATGAAAACCTTGGCATGAAGGTGGGTCTGACTTTCCCGATCGTGTTGCCTAGCACTTGACTCGATCAGTCACTGTCCTCGATAGGTCTTGAATTGGATCCGCGAGAAGGCCAACCACTCGAAAGCAACCTCGTCGGATCACGCCGCTCTGTCGCCATCGTCATCAGGAGTCTCCTCGCCGCACACAATGCCCACGAGTCCTATGTCGGAGAAGGCTGGGCCATCTCTGTCAAGAACTGGAGACGAGCACAACTCCATGCCATCGGCAGTCGCTTCTACGCAGCGTCTACAGATCACGGATCCAGCCGTAGTCGCCTGGCCTGACCATCGTATCCCTGATCACATGCTCGCGCGTCCGCGACCGGATGTTGTCCCATACCTGCACTTCCAGTCTTCGAACTGGTATGTTTGCAAAGTTGCCAATTATCTTCGACTCATCACGTGCAGCTGATGTTTGACCCATTCCAGGCCCAATTTGCGTCCTAGACTGGGTCCACACGCGCCCGGCAATGCTCGCTCAAGGGCTCAAGTACTCGATGAGTGGGTGGCTGACACGCTCCCGTCTATCCATGGCCCACTTTGACACTCGCAACAACTTCGTTGTATCTCATTTTGCAGGTTGACATGGCATTACCAGAATATGCCACGCGAAAGGCTACGTGAGCTAGGTATCATTCCTCTTGCGTGCGTCGCCAGCGCTGCTCGCCTCCCGATAGCGAAGATGCTGAAAGCGGTTGCCACGATCTGCTTGGCTCTCGCAGTCTTCCCATCCGCGACAGCCGAGGACGCGATGGAATTCCCATAGGAAAACCAATCACTTTTCAAAGTCGAGGTATCAGTGTTGCCCACCAACGCGCAGTATGGAAGGCGCGTTCCGGCAGCGGTAGGAACGCAGCTAGGAACCCCGGGTCACCTCTCCAGCCACGTCATCGACAATCTGGCGTTCATTACACGGACGACTTTCACAGCGATTATCAATATTGCAACGGACCTGCATGTCACGTCACAGTGTTTAGGCGGCCGCCTGGCTTCCATCCGAGTCAACTAACACCCGCTGAATTCAAAACGGTAGCTGAACACGGCTTTTTAGAGAATTCCTCGTTCGTGAATCGGATGGGAGACGCGGATCATTGGAAAGCGCTACAACGGGTACATGGGGTCAGCACAGAACGTGTCCATCCAACGCGGTCGGAAAATCACTACTACTTCGGACACATAGATCGTCGTGGGCTAGGCGAGGATGTTGGTGTACTGGTGAAGCTCAAAGAAAAACATGGCAAGGTAGGTATTGTACGGGCGGAGGAAGGCACTTGTGGTGAGACAATTGCTGACTCTTACTCAGAATTCTCAGACACTCAAGAGCTTATCCCTATCAAAGACCGAGGGCTCTCGAGGAGAGTCTCATCAAAAGCTTGGAAGTAGCTCAGCAGATAGGCTGCAGACAAAGGGAAGCCAGCAGCTCGCGGACACCAGCGCTGCACACTCAGCGCCCACAACGTCAGCTGTCTCTCCTGTTTCCTCTCAACCTGACCAGAAGAATGTGCTGCGCCCGCCTACCCGTCTTACCTACGACTCGTCAGACGGCAAGGCTGAATTCCCAGAACGCTATAGGACGGGTTCGCCAATCACACGCGAGCAGCTGGAGCGTGCAGCAGAAAGAAAAGCCAGGCTCAAGGCCAGCGAACTGAGGGCCAGTCGACTTGCTTTGGAAGGTCGAATGGGTGCCAGCAAAGATCACGCTCCTGCTGCTAAGGCGCGCACGCCGGACTTCGCTGTCGACGCGGTGCAAAGTGAAAAGGAAGCTTCGGATGTACACGACGCAGCTAAGAAGGTACAACCTGATGCTGCTCCGCTGCGTATGCCAGGTCCCACGATTGTCGCATTGCCTCCAGAAGCAAGAACTCCTCTGGGTATGTCGGGGTCGCATATCCCTCAGGTCTCCTCTGCAACTCGACCTGTGTCGCACCTACGGGTTGTGACCGATCGTCTGGGAGGAGAGGCGAGCTCATCGCGCGCATCGCGCGCATCGAGTCTGCGAGCTGCTTCCGGCGAAGGGCACGATGATGCTGCTGCTGCGAAGCCCGACAACAGACGTAATCTGGAAGCGCTGAGGATTGTCGGACACCCACACCCAGTCAATGTTGTAGGACGGCCCGTGATCATTCACGAGAGGATGCTTTCTCCCAATTCTCAACAAGCTCTGCTTTATCACCAAGGGCCACCACCAAAACCAGACGGGGTTCGTCTGGAGGTATCGCACCAGCCCGCTACCGGAAGGGTCGTGCTGTTCGGAAGACCCCCTAATTTCAACCCCCAAACACTGTCGCCTAACTCGCGCAAGGTGATGAAGGACTCCGGCTTGGAATGGGACAGCCGTATAGCCCCGTACAAACCTCCGTACAGTCATTAAAGCCGAGTCCGCATGAAGCGCTTTTGCTTACTGAGCGTGGTACACTCAAAAGAGGGCCGATCGCTACTTTTGTGGGCCCCTTGCAGAGAATCCGACGTATTCCACACTATAAAGAATTCCAAATGCCTTTTGCGTCCAGCATCGGTGATGCCATCGTGTGAGGCTGCAGAGTGAAAGGTGCGCCTGCTCTCCCTTCGCGTGCCTGCTTCGGTCTGCTCTCTTGATTTGAGCCGGGCGTGCTCGCGAGGGCGTGGACATGGTGCTTCCCGCATATCATTGTTCTCACGTGCAATACAGTACCTCCTGCAATCCGGCGCTCCGCACACTTGCCCTGTCGTGTGGTCTCATGCCACATTTGGGTCAGAGAGGCTCCCGGCGTGCCAGACATTTGGAGACGTCATAAATATTGAGAGGACCAACACCTTTCATATGGACGTGGCAAGAGCTAACGTGTGTCTCGAGCATGCAACGAAAGCAGGTACAAGCCAGTTGGAGCGATAGATGTACGTGGAAGCGAAGGGCAGAACGAGCACGGGAGAAAGGGCTTCTGGCTGGGCAGAAGCCCAGGACGAGATGCAAGCCAGGTCAATCTTGAGAAGCGTTGGTGGCCAATGGGAAGGACGTGAGATAAACAGGCTCGATTCTGAATCTGGGTAACATTTTGCTGCGTCGCATCATCGGCTGTAGTCGGTGCCTACGCTTTGTTGACGCGATCGGCCGTTTGTCAGGCCATTCTTGGTGGCTGCATCGCCGGTAGTCGAGCGGCTGGACATAGAGGTGGCGCGAGACACGGCAGAGCTGCGAGAGGTTTGGGAGCTCACCACCGAGTTGCGACTGGAAAGGCTGCCGCCAATAGAGCTGCCAGAAGCAAGCGTACCGGCATCGGAAGCAGCGAAGAAAGAACCGCGGGAGCGATTCTTTTGAATGCGCATGGTCTCCAGCGCAGCGTGTGCACGAACCATGCACATGTTGGACAGAAGGTAGCTTGCCTTCGGGTTCAAACCGCCCTTGCCCTTAGCCTCGAGTGGCTTGCCGGAGAGAACCTTCTTGATCTCCTTCTTTGCTGCTTCCTCCTTGCCCATGCAGGCCAGAAGGCGGCCAAGCTCGTAGTGAGCGAAGTAGCACAGGTACCTATCGGTCTCGTCAAGCTTGCCGGAGTTTTCGATGACCTTCTCGAACGATTGCACCGCATCTTGCGTGATCTCTTCCAGAGGGCCAATGGAGTCCTCGGAGGGCAATCGCACCAGCGTGTGGGGTTCGGGGAACGCGACATTCTTGAGGGCAACACCGCGCAAGAAGAAGGCCAAGCAGTATGCTGACCAGTACTCATTCTCGCCATTGCCGTACGCGCGGGGATCAGCGTAGCTCTCGAGGTCGTCGATCTCCGAGTCGATACGGCTGAGAGTGTTCTCAACGAGCAAGAAGACAGGAGTCTGTCCAATGCAGTGCCAGAGATACGAGAACTCGATACCAGCCAGAGGCAAGCGGTTGTTCTGGGCGACATACTTGCGCGCCTTCATCGAGCAGAAACGCTCAAACGGAATTTGACGTCCGGCCACCTTTTTGGTGAGCTTGGCGACCGTGCGCATAATCGTAGCGCTCTTGGCGCGGTCATCCATGCCGGACTCGTAGAGCATGACTGCTTTTGCGTACTGGTAGATGGCCTTCGACCAGTTGGACTCGCGCGAAAGCACGTCTTGGCACTCGAAGCAGCGAGCAAAGTCGCAAGTGGCCAGGTAGGTCAAAGACAGGTCCCAGAAGCAGAGGTGGTGCAGCTGCTTGTACTCGCGCTGAGACTCGATAGCGTTACGGAAGTACTCGATGGCCTTCTCTGGCAGGGCTTGCGCCGCGTACAGACGCGCGGAGAAGTAGAGGAAGAAGATTCCGTTGGGGTAGCGTACCAAGTTCCAGCTCAGCACCTTGTCGGCAAACTCAAAGTCGACGTCTGTGATGGGGATGTACGACGAGATGACGAGATGGTAGACCAGCATAGCAATGTCGCACAGTGGGCGACGGACACCCTCCTCGTCGGCAGAAATAGTAGGAAGGGGACGAGACTTGGTCCATCCACCTGCACGAGAGTAAAGGTCGAGGGCGAAGCGACGATCGCCCGTGAAGCCGAGTCCCTCCATCATCTTGAGGGCTTTGTCGGGGAGCATGGAAAGGATGAGGGAGCAAGTTGCATTGGTCATGTAAACGCCCGACCTGAAGTCTTGATCGACGGCGGTCGTAGGTCTGCGACCATGAATTTGAGCCTCTTCAGCCTCGCCATCGCAGTACTCCACAAACTTGAACAGCTCGCGAATGAGGAAATAGGAGTTGCGGAGGCCAAAGGCGTTTTTGATGAACGCAATACCATCACCTGCGTAGAAGATACCAAGAACAGCCTTGAGCAGTTGAGACTCTGCGAAAACAAGCTCAGCGTGTTGCTGGACGAGGGTCATGGAGCGGTAGTTGGTCTGCTTGCTTGAGCCCGTCAGCTTGCCGATGGTACCTTGCTTCTTGCGCAGAAGGGAGGCGATGTTCATGGAATGCTTGCAGCACAAGATCGCACTTTCGAAGTCCGTAGGCTCGAAGGTCATGATGGCCTTAACCGTATTGATCAGCGACATGCCGACCGCCTTGTAAAGGCGCGTCTCGGCATCTTTGATGCAGAGGTCCTCAGCCTCTTTCATGCGAGAGTTCAAGAATAGCGACATGGCCTCACGAACGATGGCAAGATCCTCGCGACAGTCATTGTCGTCGATCTTGACCTGACTGGATGTGAGCGACTTTCTTGGGATGTGCGTAGGCAAGACAGCTGTCTCGGGTGTGATGGACTCGTCGCTGTAATCGCTTCCTTCGTCATCTTGAAAGTCTTCCTCATCCTCCTCTTCTTCTGCCTGGCCATCGTCGTCATAGCGATCCTCTTCAGGTGCATTGCCATTGCGACGCTGCGTCTGCTGCTGCTGCTGTTGGCCGTTAGTGTCGTCTCCACGGCCAGTGACGTAGGCAGCGGCACCGCCCACGGCTGCCGTAGCGGCTGCGGCGGCACCGCCCACAGCACCGAGTGCCGCGCCAGTGTAGCTCTGCTCTTCGCGTGGCTGCTGTTGCTGCTGACGACCATTTTCTGTGGGAGTCTCGGTGCGGTCCGGCTGGCGACTGGGTTGAGAGGGTTGACGAGAAGGAGCGGGACGAGCTTGTTCTGGCTCCGCTTCAGCCTCGGTCTCCTTGGGTGCTGGCTTCTTCGTCGAGGCCTTGGCAGCTGCCGCGCCTGCAGCCGCGCCTGCAGCTGCACCACCAGCAGCTTCAGCGCCCTTCTTGCTCTTGCCGCTCTTGCCGCTCTTCACGCTGCGGCTGCTGCTACCGCCATCGACCTCGGTGCCGCAGAAGCCGAGACGGCCGGCGACAGAGTCCTCGAGCGTGTCTTCACCGTTCTCTTCCAGCCACTTCTTGAGCGCCGGAATGCTGTGACGCTCTCCACATTTTTGCTTGATGGTCTCACCATCAACCTGAGGATACTCCCAGTCGAAAGATCCATCATCGTGAAGAATCCCGGCGCGCTGGTACACGTTGCGAGCTCTGCAGTACTTGTTCATCTGAAGAGCCTTGAGTCTCAATTGCTTGGTGAGAACGATTCGGCGATGGGTGAGCTCCGGAACCTCGTCATCGTTGTCGCTTTGCTGATACCACTCGCGCGTCGCCTCCTCAAATTGCTTGGCAAGATCATCGTACTCGTCTTGCATGGCCTTTTGAGTCTTGGTGTCCTTTAGGAGATCGTTCTCGCGAGGGTCCGGCTCGATGTAGTCCCAGTCCCAGTCCATTGTTCCGCCCATGCCCTTGCGCAGCTTGGCTGTCGATGCATAGTCAGAAAGCTCTGGTGCCTTGCTCGAGAATTTGATCTTGTCACGGACGACTGGGTCCAGCATGGGCTGAAGAACCTGCCAGATACCTTTGAAGATCCAGGGAGCGGAGTGCACGTAAATACGCTGCAGGGACTCCGGATAGCTGGCAAAACGTCATTCGCGATTAGCCGACTGCTGCAATTCCCTGCGGCGAGAGTTAAGACTCACTAGGCTTCAAGACATTTCACCAGGAAAAGCACACATTGCCAGTCCATGTTCTTCAGACCGAAGCCACCCATATCGAAAATGACCACAGCCTTCTCGTAAGGAGGAGTGGTCAATTGACGAGCGTTCTCCATTGCAAGCAGGACGAACTGTTGAAGCACCTCGTGCTTCTGAGCGCTGGTAAAGTGGCGAGCGACGTGGCTATGGGTACAATGGACATTGAGTAAATTCGTGCAAAGTCAGCGGCAGGCTTTGCGTGAGAGACTTTTCTCGCGGCTCACATGAAGTAGACGGGGTGCTCTCCGGGGTGGTCTGGACCACCATCACTGTTGCCCTTGATGTAGGAGATACCTCGACGGAACTCTGCGTTAGTGCGCAAAAGCGAGGCGTAATCAGATCCCTGCGCGCTCGCCAGCCGTTGCACGTAGCGACTCACGGTTCAAGAAACCAGGAACAGCCTCGAGGCCCTGTTCTCCCTTCATCACGATGCCTTCGACGTCCTTCTCGAAGCGGAACTTGAGAGCGGCTGCAAGCATGGCAAGCGCACGGTCGACATCCCACTTTCTCGCACGCAAAAATCGAAGCATGCCGCTGTCCGGGTTGTCGTGCTAAATGCCCAGGGGCGAAAGCAAGACTTAGCAGCGGCTCACGGAGTCACGCTTAGCGCTGGCGCTCACCTTTGTGAATTCCCAAAGAGCTCGTCTCAAGTAGGGACCTCCGTAAGCTGCGGGAATACAATAGCGTGTGAGCTTGCAGACTCTCGCTGGTGAGAACGAGGGGTACTTACTGTCCAGGAACTGGTTCATTTCCTGCGAGCGGTGCAATGCCAAATGGCCACCATGGTCAGCGCTGCGTCTCTGAGTCGTCTGCGCACCTCGCTAAAATCCTCACCTTCATCTCCTCCATTTTTTTGGCCTCTTCCTTGGCCTTGTCATCTTTTGGGATGTCCTTGCCTGCAGACTTCTCATCTGCGGGAGGAGCAGCTGCCTTGTTGTTCTTGGCTGCGTTGGGACCACCCTTCTTCTCGAGCTCAGCAGAGCGTTCCTTTCATCACGATGGATCGTTTGAAGAAGCTGCAGTCAGTGGGCGATTCACAAGCGCAAACACAGCTGCTGCGGACTGCTCACTGTGTTCTTCTCGTACAGCTCAAAGAAGCGGCGCCAGATTTCTCTCAGTGCACGTTGTTGGTCAGCATCCAGGTTACCTGCGACAGCGAATGAAAAATAGCGAAACTAGATGTGAGCCGCACATGACACTACCGGATCACGCCAGCGAGCCACGACGCTCCCCGCTATCAGCCGGCCGGCGCAGACGTGTGGCCTGAGATGCGTTGCAGACATTCCTGACCTGGCAAAGCAGTGGCGCATTTGCCTTTGTGCAGCAGTCTTGAAGGTTTTCGGACCTTTGTCTCGGCTGATCAAGCATCCACTTGAATCACGTGGAAAGCCACTCACCGCGGTAACCGGGCAAGACTTTCTCGCCATCGATGTTTCTAGTCGTCGACATCTCCGCGAGCTATGAGGGGTGCGTGCAAAGGAAGACTCAACAAGAGGCACGCGCGAAAGCTAGCTTTCGGACAGCGCCAAGAAGAAGGGGAACTAAGACAACAGCTACAACACAGAGCGATGATCACAGCCTTGCTGGCGACCCGACCAGAAGCTAGGGAAGGGTGGAAGACAAGGAGGTGGTGGGACTGCGCAAGCGCGTGCCGAGCAGGTGTCAAACAAAGAGTGAAAGCTAGCGTTTATGAGAAGGAAGCTCGTGGCGGATGTGGAGTGCAAGCGCGAGCAGAAGGAATAAGGTGTGGAAAGGAAGAGAGAGAGAAGAGAGAAGCAAGGGCAAGTTGCTTGTAAATCGTCGGATCTCTTTGCGAGGATGTGAACAGCGGGGGAAAAGCTTCCTGCTGGTTGAAAGTGAGGCGAAGCGGGGAAAGATGCCGATGGTGGACATGGGAAAGCGCCAACGGTCGATGCCCGTACTTGAGCTGGGCAGGGCGCCAGTGTTTCGATCAAAGACTCTGTGTGCCCTGTGCGGCAGAAGCGGGTTGAGACTTGAGACAGGGCATATGTACTGTACCGTCATGTGCAGCTTCTGCTACCACTCGAGGCCATGCAACTACGGTCAGGGCGGCGGTCACTTGGGGAAGAGGCGGGGTACCGCTGCTGTAGTCACTGTCAGCGGCACAAGCTAGGCAGCGAGGCAGGTTCGTCTAGCAAATCACATCCGAGCAACGTGAAACAGGCTCTCTCGCCGACGCAGCAGCAGCAGCAGCAGCAGCCCAGAGAAGGCATGCATGCATACATGTAGCTCAATAAAGTGCACACAGCGAGCAAGCTAGACGGGACAAGCCAAGGAAAGGCGCTGTACATGGTGCGTGCGTTCAAGGTGCAGGTGCGTCACTCTACGCGCGGGGATTGAATGTGAAATCGCGAGAGTGGTCTTATATTGCTCGAGTCGATGTTGCTCATGCTTCGCGCCCGCGAGGCCGGGGTGCATAGGCTCTTGCGGCCCTCGTCGCTCGCGCCCAAAGTCAGAGACATCCTCATCGTCGTCATTTGCTCCATGTGGTTGCCTTCGGCAGGAGCCACAGAGGCACTTGCGCACTATCGAAGAGTCTTGTGCGCGTCGACTTACACCTCGCGTCGGGGCGCATCCCCCCTCTGTATAATTGTAGCTGCGCCTGCCGCTGCAAGAGCCTATCCTCGATTGCTCCTGTACGTGCAGCAGCGCAGGTCCTTACCTGCATGCTGCACCTGCAGCTGCATCGTGGACCTTGGCCGAACAGCACCAGCGCGGGTGTGGCAGCAGCGAGGCGCAAACCCTGAGCATTCTTTGCTTCGTGCCGTAATTCAGGCGGGCCAATCGACGATGAGCGTCGCGATCAAAGCGGGGAAGCGGGGTGAAACAAAGAAGCAGGGCGTGCGTGGCGAGGCAACAACTGGCTTCGCAGGAGAGCCCGCGTCCATCCACTCGGTTCACGCGGTGGGGATGCCCTGATCGAGAAGACCCTCGATCGTCGACAAACATGAGCGCAGCCGTGTCCCATGCATGCATGATACTATACTGGCCTGTTTTCTCAAACGCAGGCCGCAACGTCATCAAAGAAGAGGAAGCGCCAATCGTGACATGAATCGCACATCAGAGGATCGCGTCGCAGTGGGCAGGTGTAGCAAGATGCGGACCTATACAGATCTGATGCGCGGTGGATATCTTTGTGAGCTCAACTCTCGTCCTTCTGATGCGAATCGATCTCTGCGTCAGCCCTGTAAGGAATAGTGATTGTACCATAAAGGGTCTCGCTTCGAGTGTACCACTCCACCGATGTAAGGATGACGTCTCACGGACGAAGCGGCGCTCGTTGGTGAAGTGCAGCGCGCCTCTTCTATACATACTATACCGGTACTCGTGACTCATCAGGATGCAATTTGTGTTCTTGCTATGGCGATAGGACGCCCAAAACTAGGCTCATCATGCCCCCGCGGCTGGTGGCCAATCGCATGATCATCAGCAGCGATCGAAGCCGGCTTTCGGAGCAGTAGTTAGGTGGAGACCCAGCAGCAGGTCGGTCGTACGTACGCCTGGCTGGCTAGCGTACGCGCGGGAAAAGAAGCTTCGCTTTACGAGCTTATAGCGCCCCTCGTTCGGCTGGCAAAGCGACCTTACGCTGGGTGGGACGCCGCTGATTACCGCAAGTCGTACCACTGTAGAGTACGCTGGGCTTGGACAACGAAAAGGATGGTGGTCGTGGGCTATAATCAGCGATCATCTTGGGTCTAATTCTTATACATGAACGTTCATTAGCTGATTAGCACGTTTGGTGAGTGTGGGAACGCTGCATTTCTCCTTGCGAGCGTCGACGCTCCTGTCTCTCTGGCACTCGCAACTTCCAGGCTCCAATATTGAATCATCGCGAATGGTGAACCAAGCTCTGAACATCCTTCATTGGTGTGGTGTGGTGGATCATCAAAAGTCAGAAGAGATTT